AAGTTGATTAAAAATATCATTCTTCTTATTGTCCTTAAAAAACAGAAGTTACTCTTTTCTCCATTCACACTTAGAGGCCGTGGACTGTTTCTTGGACGTGAAATAAGGGACCAGAACAGTGTGTCTCAAAACTTTCATAGTGACCTATGACTAGATTATGTTGATATATATGTCTAACTAATTTATTGTTTTGTTGCCTGGATGCATTGTAACCGACTGCAAGCACCTCTTCCTCCTCCTCCTCCTCCTTCTTCTTTTTCTCTTCTCTGAGATAAGGTTTCAGTCTGTTGTCCAGCCTGGAGTGCGGCAGCAGTAACGTCATCATAGCTCACTCTAACCTTAAACTCCTGGGCTCAAGAAATCTGCCTGCCTCAGCCTCCCAAGTAACTAGGCTATAGCAGACACATGCCACCATGTCTAACCAATTCTTTCTTTCCTTTCTTCCTTCCTTTCTTCCTTCCTTCCTTTTTTTTTCCCCAGACAGCGTCTCTTGATATTTCTCAGGCTAACCTCCAGTTCATGGCCCCTAGCAATCTTCCCCCCTCTGTTTCCTAAAGTACTACGATTATAGGCCTGAGTTGTTGGGCCAGGCTGCAAGTACACCATGAATGCATAACAATGATAACATAAAGCACATCTCTAAAGGGATGAAGGTAAGTTTAAAAAGTATTTTGGTTTTTTTTTCCTGGATTTTCCAGCAAAGAAAACATAATTTTAAACAGTATCAGTTTCACCAGGTTACTTAAATGATTCAGTCCCATTTATTAAGCAGACTTTCATAAATATCCTATAAGTCACCCCAAAGCAGGCACACACACAATCTCTCTTAGCATCCATGAGACAACAGCATTTCCTGGGAACCGCACACTTCTTAGTGGTTTCAGTGATTTTTCATTCCTAGTTGAAGGTTAAGTTCTTCCTTTCAAGTACATGGAATTTGGGTAAAAAGGATTGTATACCCAAATCATAAATTTCTGAAGTGCTTGTATCCTTAGTTACAGAGAAAATTTAACCCACAGAGATAATCTCCAAGTCAGTCCTTTTCCAAACTGCTATTGCAAACAGGCACCTAATGTCCACAATTGCAACATGAGAAGTCAAAATATTTGGTTGTTAATGTCTTCCTAGAAAAGACATTGCTCTGACCCATTCACACAGAAGGTACAGTCCTTATCACAAATAAAGTGGTAAAGGAAGGATCATTAAAGGAGGCATGTGTGTCGACCCACTGTGTGCAGGAATTGGAAAAACAAGCCTGTTATACCTTAGACTCAGGGAAGTTACATAGGACTGCTTCCTAGGTCAAATTTATTTGTTTAGAATTTGTAGGTAGGTTTGATTGGGGGAAGTTATTGTGTGTTTATTGCGACTTCTGTGTTTTCCTCTATCTTACACACATCCAGTTGATCCTGAGGTTAGACTCAGGCATAGGACAAACAGGAGCCTGGGGCCTCCTGAAAATGATTCCAAAGTAAACATGTGGTGTGACTACTGATCAGAGGGCCCAGGAGAGACCTGTAAGGTGACTCCTGTTGGGAGGACTATAACCGACCATCTGCTCAAAGTCCTTACTTTATGGAAAACCACCAGCAGTCAGTAGACCTTCACTCCTCCCCTGCCATGTCTCTCTCCTTATTAAGCCACTTAAAAGTTAACAATCCAAAGACATCAAGAGCATAACCACAGCATAAAGGAACAGAGGTTCAGCAGACTAAAGCACAAGCTTTCTCCAGCACTCCATGAGTCTTTTTTCACCAAGAACTTCTAAAGAATTTTTCACCCCACCATTGCTTTCAATACCCACACTACTTCTTTCTGAAGTGCATGACTGGATACCTTGGAATAGCAATTTAATACTTGTGTAGAGTGAAGCTATTTAAAAAGTACATTCATTTTACTCTGAAGCTATTAAGCCAACATGTGTTTACTTTCTTTGACCACATTTATTGTGTGCAGTTTAAATGGGTTTCTGAATTAACTACATTATTCATATCATTAACTTGGATTTTTTTTTTTGGAGTTTTTATGCACTTTCTAAACAGAGAAGACAGTATGTAAGGAAATTAAGCAGCTCCTTTTAATTCTATGGGGTTTACCAACAAAACAGAGAAAGATGATTGGCTCTAGTTTAAGGTGAACAATTAGCTTTTTTTTTCAGGGCAAGCAAGATTTGCCCAAATTTGGGGGCAACAGATATTGTTCATTATGATGAAATTAAGGGCTTTTGTGCTTAAGCATCTAAAGTTGTTATAGGAAAAGCGGAAACCAAAAAGGAAAAGAAAAAGGAAACCTATTCAAAAATCTCTACTTAAAATGCAGGACCATTTTAGGGTCGCGTCCCTGTGGTTAGAAGAATATTATATAGTGACGACCAACTGCATCACCGTTTCACTCGGCACATTCCTTTATTTTAAAAGGGAGCTAAACTTTAGGAAGTTGGGAAGAAAATAGCTAAGTGTTAAGGAGTTCCACGAAGGGAAAGAGCTGATGAACAAGTATATTTTTGCATCATAAGTCTCAGCTCTGTATTTTCCACACTTTAGAAAAGAGTCTGACAATAAAAAGACCAGTGACATCAGCCCTAGGCTATAGGAAATCTAGCAATTGCCACCTTCTGCTAATGTATTCAAGGAGGTCTAAGCCTGTGAAATAACATTTGCTTCCTATACAGGACCACTGACTAAGAAACTAAGTTAACAGAATTCTTTGGCTAGAAAAGCCCCTGTCACAGGTGGCCATAGCTGCGCTACACAGCTTTTCCCAGCAGGACAAGAAGCTCCCCCCTACTGATGCAACTGTTCTTGCAAAGCTGTCAGTTTAGGTTCTAACCTGCACATTAACCATGTGCTTAGAAGAGCTGCTAAATAGTGCAAAGAGAATAGCCTTCTGCTATCGTTCTTTAAAACACTCTCGTCTTGCACAATGACACATTCATAGTGCCACATGTATCTTCAGATTTGTGTACTGTCTGAAGGTGTCCTGAGTATCTAATTGAGTAAATAGCTACAGAGTAATCAAACCAATAGGATAGGTTCCTGATTAGGAAGGCTTCACTTTTTCACACTCAACATGCTTTTCTAATACAATTTAAAGTCCGGTCACAGTTCAAACATACAACCCATATTGCAGAAGTTTTGTACCTTAAGAGAACTGGGAATGGCTATTATCATTTTTGTCATAACACATGTGTGAACTACTTTTAATGAAATTTCCCCTTATACAATTAGAACTTTGATAAAAGAAAAAAATGATGACTCTCTGCCCTTCTATTACCTAACCTACATTAAAACTTTGGAAGCTAGAAACTACAGACCTTTTCCAGTCAATTAAATTATAGCATCCTTAAAAAGCAAATGCACTTCTAGAACTCCAGAGACTTTCACTGTCTTTAAAATCACTCTAGGCTGGGTTTCTACTGTTTAATTATTTACTATTTTATGATATGTTGATAAGCATCTTGGTAAGTGTCTGATCTTTGACATTTTCCTTTCTCTAGAAGACTACAAGTAATCATTGAATTACAACCTAATGGCAGGGGATAAGAATTTAAAGAATAACTGTGATGAGGAATTTGTATTGAGATGTTCAAAGCTAACCACAAATATTAAAACGGTTTCTGTATTTGGAGGAAGTTATTATAACACTGGGAAGCAGACTGATTTTCAATAAAACCATCTGTACAATGTGAACTGAAGTGACAAGCAAACCTTTAAGGAAAGGAAGAATAATTCTCCCATTCTATTTTAATTTAGGAAAGTCACCTGGCATTTGTGTATTTATTTATTCATTCATTTATTTACTTATGGAGGGAGAGGAGTTATTGGAGCTAAATGAAACAGATCCTATATTAAGGAGAAAGTTTGGTTTCACAGGCCTGAAAGAGGGTGTGCAGAGTAGAAATAGCATCAAACATTTTACAATCTTAATTTTTAAGAGACAATGAGTTTTCTTCTTCTTTTTCCGTTTCAGATTTAGGTACAACCCTCTATATTCCCACTTCATTTTCCATCAAATGCACAATAAAATAATGTTTCCATTCATGTAGCTTTGAAAAGATCCTCATCCTGTGTGGGTTATTTTATTTTATAGCAGCCAAGGGAAAGAGGTTGCTGCCAGTATGATGCTAAGAACATGCAGAATAAAGACTCAGTCCCGGGCAAGGAAACAGTCCACCTTTGTGCTGCACTTGTAGAAGAAGAAAGCAAACCCATCACCAACTTTGGGATTTGATCAACAGAGGGGCGTCACAAAACTCTTCTCAATCACTGCATTTTAAATCTCCAGTAAAAATAGCTCCTCTGTCCTGGGCTTAGAGTCCCATCCGTGGCCGGTGATGGAGTACAGTACTTAATTGTTTCTGACTAAGGTCTCTGCATCAGCACTCTGACGGTGTCCCCTAACTTTTAATCCCCTTCTGGGCTCTGAATTTAGACCCCTTCACAAGACGACCAGATAATAATAAACACGCCTGTCCCTGAGCCTAGGCAGGGCATTAAAGCAGGTCATCGCGGAAGTCTGCGAACTTTTAGACAAGTCTTAGCATCTTCCAGGGTTAACCTGTTTTCTCTGGTTCCCTCTACCTTAAAATCAGACCCACTTGGGGGAGGAGAGAAGCTCTGTGGTTACTGAGACAACGCCAGTGTAATCCGCTGCCCGCTGGCAGTTTCCTCCTTGTTCTTTATTTTATTCTATTACGGCGTGTTATCTGTTCCTTGCTACAGGGCTGGACAAAGTGTCTTTTCCTCCCCTCTGAAAGGGAAGGTCTTGGTCTCCTCACTGGGAGTGATCTGGAGACTTTCTCCAACGGGCGGAAAAGGGTTTCCCTCCGGGAAGAAAGGGTTTCAGAGCCCAAATCACAGAGGGACCCCGTTACTTAGGCGGGACGTGCAAACAGCTGAAATGCGCTCCCCCCCCCACCAACCCCGTGACCCACCCACCATAGGACCAACTTGGCCCTGGCAGAGCCCCTGGGCTCAGGTCACACACGCTCCTGGACTCACCTGGTGCTGAGGACCAGCGCCGGCAGCAGGGACAGCAAATAGTGCACGGGGCTGAATTTCATGCTGCCGCCTGCCGGGGTCCTCCTTCCCCCGCTGCCTTCGCTCTCTCGCCTCTTCGGGGTCCTGTGGCTTCTCGGCGCCCGGCTCTGTTCCCAGACCCTGATGAGCGGCAGAAAGACAGAGACGGATAAACGGATGGACGCTACTCCACGGCGGGAGCTGGGAGCGTGGAGTATCTTCAGGAGTGATGTCACCGGAGAGGCGAGGCAGGCGACGCGAGGCGAGCCCAGCCCGGGATTGTTTGGAGCCGCCGCTCCGGAGCGCGGCGGGCGCGCGGTCCCCGCGCTGGAGGCGGCGCGGAGAGGGGAGGGAGTGCCCGGCGCTCGCCCTGCGCCCCGCGGTCTCCGAGCTGCTCCCTGGTCGCCGGCTGAGCACCAGCCGGGAGCAGATCATTTATTCCCGCTTCTCCCGAGGACCGCGAGGGGCGGGGCGCGCAGCGGAGAAATCTAATCTGCCAATAATTGAACTTGCGTCCTCGGCGGGAGGTGAGACCGAATTCACTGTGACAGACCATCAGACGCTTAGAGTCGCAGGCAGGTGTCTCTCACCTGATGAAACGCTGCTTGGAAGAACGTCGTGTTTAAAATATTGTTTTAATTAGAAATGCTTAACGATTTGCTCGACACAGAGAAAGGAAGCAGGAGTAAGGAGCGTCCAGAAACGCACCCTGAGCCCGCGATGCCGCCGCAAGTTCCTTAACCCGTCGGTGGTAAATGTCGACTACAAAGACGTTTCGGGACCGTTAACACGTCTGCTGGTCTGCGCGTTGAAGATTTTGGATCTTCCTCCCATTTCAGTGTCTGTACAAGCAGCTGGTAATGGGGTTGGAGCTGGTGGTCCAAGTTCACGCACCTGAAGGGGTCCTTTTCCTCAGGTGAGATTCTTCAAAGACGTAACTGAAAAATTAATTCAAAGAATGATAACGTTGGAAAGCCGAAGATATTATGTGCCATTTTGTTTTCTGTATTTTCCCAAGTGGTCTATAATGAACATCCAATGTTTTATTTAGAAATTTAAATTATAAAAATTAAATAGCAAGACTGTGATACAAAATACGGTTTTTCAATTATGGTAGAGTGAACTACTTCGTCTACTGAGAGAGCCAGTTCTAAGATCTTTACAACATGATATTCTGTTGGAGATATATGTATGTATAAATGTGCACATGTACGTTAAATAATTGTGTATGAAGCACTTTTTCATACATTAATCCTGTCACTTTTCATACCTTCGATCTTATCCTCACAAAAGCTATCATGGTGAAATAGAAATTAATACAGATAGAACAGAGGACCATCAAGGTCTGAGCTGGACTTCTTTTTAAACAAAGAACTGATTCTATTAATTTCTAAGTAAATCCTCGTGTTGCCGTGAACATCACACCCAGCACATGTTACTCAGTGTTTGATCTAAAGTTGATGTTGAGGAAAGGCTGAGGAGCACCAAGGACTGGAAAGGCAAGGGACAGCTGGTGTCCAAGAATTCCTGTCCAGAGGGCTCGGGTCATGTTCCTTTTTTTTTTTTTTACCCCCTGGGGAAAATCATTTGTAATAAGATTTAGATGAGGAATCTGTTTTAATCTCATTCCAAAGACATTATTTATAGGAAAAATTCATTCACTATAAACCTTCAGAGAATATAAGTTTAAAGAGTAAATCTCCCCTTTGTACAGATTTGTTTTGTTTTGAGTAGGGTTATGACATTCATACCCCTGGCCCCTAAAATAGATGTGTAATAACTTTTGTAAAGTGAGTATCGGCCCCTAGAGCAATAGAACAGTACAACGCACAACAGATTTAACTAGGTGTATACAAACCAACTCACTTGTGAATTGCCTGGCATTTACAGAGAAAAAATGACAACACACTTTGCTAAAACAGAACCCTGAGTCCAAGGGAAAATGTAAACTCTGGTTTGCTCCTGCTGGAGTTTTCTAACAATAGATTTCCTGCACACTTTGAAGGGGAGCATTTGAGCTGTATATTCAACAAAGGCATATGGCTACGTGGTAATAAAAAATGTGCATACTAGGAACTAACATTCAGATTTGGAGAACACATTTTTGTTTATAGGACAAATTTGCATTCATTATCGGATGGCCTCATCATAGAAACTAAGCCTGGTGGTCACTTCTATGATTTTTTTTTTCCCTTTTGTGGTGTTAGCAACAAACTCAATGTGGTCAGGAAACTTGCTCAAGGTCATCTAGAAACTTGTACAGTGGAGACGACGTTTGAATTCAGTCTGTATCAATTCACAATGTATGTTTTATTGAGAAAAAATATATTTACCTATGGAGGAAAATACTTTGTCCAACCTAAACGTCCTTACTTTCTACTCCACCAAAACATAAAACAAAAATAAAACTTTAGATTGTCAATCAAGAAAAAGAAATATCAGAATGAACTTCCTTTAGACTGTGTCTCAGAGTTCTGTTGTGCCTCTGTGTTTTATACCTTTAAAGAACAATAAGGTTTGTTAGCATTTGTGCTTATTCTACAAGAAAAAAAAAAAGATATCTAGCATAGAAGGACACAGAGCATTAGGGAAGCAAGATCTTAAAAGATGAGCATGAGTGAGATTTTTTTAAACTCCTGTAGATTTAGAGAATTGAAGTATTACTCTGAATTGAATTACAAATGTGCCTTTCAGAGGTCTGCTCTTCCTGGGGAATTAAAGGACCATGTGTCTCCGTTACCCATGACATCTGTCTACACTCACAGTAAAACTCAAATCCAGAATTGATTTTAGAGCTTTAAAGAGTTTCTATATGAATTTTAAAGATACAGTAGTACAGACCGCAGATTCACTTAGCTGAACCCACTTGCTCTATGCTGAATCCCAACACTGACCTCAGCAAATGGTTTGTGTTAACTATATCTGAGTATAATAGAAAAAAATAAAGCCCATCCAGTTGTGCTGAATCTCCATGAAATTCTGAAATTGGGAGACACAGAAGCTATTTTTTTTAATGGATTTACTGAGATTTACTTCAGTCACCCAAACTATACACTCTTTGTTACCAAAACGGTACCATTGTAAATAATATAATTCAGCATTTTTATGTATATTCAAAATATTTTGAAATAATCCCCATTATATAATTTCAGAACCTTTTATTGTCCCCCAAGAAACTGTTTCCCCACCAGTAGCCACTTGCCCCTTCCTCTGTACTCTTTTCCCCCACACTTGGTGAACACTAATCTGATTTCTGTCTTTATAAATCAACTCAATTCTAGAGGTTTTATATACATTGATTCATAGTATATGTGGCTTTATATTACTTCCTTTTTCACATCCATTCCTCAAGGTTCATCCATGTTATAGTATAATAAGCACTTCACTTTTTTACTGTTGTATAATATTCCATTGTATGGATATACCACTTTGTTTATCCATTCATGAATTGATGGATATTCAGTTGTTCACATATTTAGGTATTATAAATAATTCTACCTTGAATATTCATATATGTGCAGAAAAGCTGTGTGAACATCTGTTTCAATTCTCTTGAATATATACATAAAAGTGGAAGTCCGGCATCACATGACAACTCTATGTTTAATATTTAATGAAATTGCTAAACTGTTTTCTGAATTAGCTGTACCATTTTACATTTCCATTAATAATATATGACAGTATCAGTTTCTCTACAAACTTAATAACACTTGTTATTTTCAATTATTATAATCATCCTGGGTGAGGCAAAGTAGTATCTCATTGTCATTTTGATTTGTATTTGACTGTTAGTTAATAATATTTAGCATTTTTCAAGTGCTTCTTGGTCATTCATATACAGTTTTTGATATATAGTCATTAATTATTGGCCTATTTTAATCAGCTTAAGTCTTATTTTTGAGATTTTAAGAGTGCCACATATTTACTTGATGTGATTCTCTTTTAGAAACATGACTTACAAATGTTTCCTAAACCGTGGTTTGTCCTTTCACTTTCCTGATGGTATGATATGATTTACAACATAAAGTTTTAATTTTGATAAGTCCAACTTACCTATTTTTTTCTTTTGTGACTATGCTCTTGATGTTATATCTATGAATGTCGTGCTTCACCCAAGGTCAAGAAAATGTATGTCGATGTTTTTTTCTAAGATTTTCCTTATGGTATATCTTTGAGTTAGGTCTCTATTCCAATTTTTGTATATTTGTGAGGTAGGGGTTCAAATTCATTTCTTTGCCTACTGGTATAAAGTTTTATTAGCATTATTTTTGAAAAAGTTATTTTTCCCCAGTTTAATAACCATGCTATCTTTTCTCTCTTACAGTAATACTTTTTATCTTTATGGATTTTTGTTTCTATTTTCATGGACTAAATTCTGACATCTCCTAGAGTTTCATCCTTGATACTCTTAAAATTCTGTATTTTTCCTCAGTTAAAAATCATTTTTTATGATTTTGGCAAACTTCAGTATTACTATAAATCTCAAAATTTACCTCCAGCCTAGACTTTTTTTTTTTTCTCTTGCAATTTTTGGCCAGGGCCAGGTTTGAACCTGCCACCTCCAGTATATGGTCCAGGGCCCTACTTTTTAGAGCCACAGGCGCTGCTCCAGCTTAGACTTCTGTATTGAGCTATCACCTGGCTTTCATGTGGATTCCTCAAAGTCAAATTTAATCACATTGAATCCTTCATTCTCCGTCTGACCCTCCTTCTGCAAATTTCCTTATTCCTCTATGAACACAATCACCCAAATTCTAAACCTGAGAGCTGTCCATTATTTTTCCCTCCCTTCTGCCACAACCACCAAATCTTATAAATTTTACTTCCTGAATATTTATTGGCACACTCTGCCACTGCTCTATACGATGGCTAACACCAGGGATCTATTTAGAACTCTAAGACTCTTCATTCTCAAGTCTTTTCCTTATTCCCAGTCAGATTTTCTTTAAATCTATTCACCTTGTATAATCTACATAAAGCTTCAATATCTCTATTACCGTCAAGCTACTGGGAAATTGCTTGCAAATAATATACTTAATACGTGCTTCCTCCTTTTATTTCTTTAACTTTCATTCCGCATTGTAAACACGGTAATAGGTTTCCCTTTGTGTCTATTTATTTATTTATATGTTTATTGATTAATTG